GCGGTTCTTTGACAGCAACATTTTGAACTGGAGCAAGAGAAATGCTCACGTCAAGTTGAAAGCTGTTGGTGTTCTATCCTTGACTTAAAAATGGAGAGATATTTCTTGAATTCCCTTCCAGAAAGCACATCATCCAAATCTTGTGCTCCGGACTTCCCCCCAACCATCACTTTTTCAGACCAGTGGTTAGATTTTGTCCTTTTGCCAGGCCCTGCACATTCCAGAGAAAACTACCAGAAGGCCACCAGCCTGTAGACTTCTTCCTATAATTTTTTCTGTATACTTCTTTATGTCATTTAGTATTACATGGCCCTCATAAGCAGCTTATGAGCCTGTCCAAATACTTCAAAGCCAACTTTGTATGTTTTGGAAGTTCTCTGTCTCAGGCAGTATACATTTCCTTCTTTTTTTCTTCCCCTCCCCCCGCCCCGCCCCGCACTTGTGAAACAGATTTTAAACTCTTATCATGAGATTCCAAAGCTCAGTTATCAAATAAACAAAGGAATAGAGATACTTACATACACCATCCCAACTAAAACTTAACACTGCACAAAAATTAATACAGTTCACTGCTGTTTTTCAGACTATAAAGAAACCGGGAAGGAGACTGATTGGAATGCAAACTACAGTTCAAACAGATAAATCCTTAGAAAAACAGGACACTAAGAGAAAATATTAACATCAGAAGTCATATAGAAGGAGATCTGAGATCAAAAAGAGAATATGATTGGTCTATAAACACATAAAGAGACAGTGGATAAGGGAGATCAAGAGAGAATGAGGAGGTAAGAGAATAATGGGGCAATAAATATACAAAACAACAATTCCAACCTGAAGAGGAGTATGTTAAGGGAGCTGCTGAATTCAGCATGTTCTCCGACTCTGGGAATCACAGGATTCCACCTTCCTAGTCTATCAAAGCAAAATCTGTTGAACTCTAAAATCCCAAAGGTTCCTACTGTCCCACTTCCATGGATATGATGGCTGCTGGATCAATATGCAGTTCCAGCCAGTAGCGAGACTGAACACATATTCCAGAGAGACAAGACACACAATACATACATGACAATAATGTGACCGGACATACAGACTAATACAGAGCCAACTGAACAACAGGATTCACATAAACAGGAATACCAATAGCCAAGTCCTCTTCCTCCTCTCCAGCTCATCAGGATTGAAGTTGACTAGTGAAGACACACACACATGCATACCTCTAGATTCAGAAGCACACCACATTCACGGATCTCAAATATTAGCATAGGCTCTATCTAATATCCACACTTTGGACAGACCTCTTACCCAGTCACTGGCTGAAACCTTGGTGTCCTGATTTCAGCTGGGATAGAATTAAATTTCTTCCTAGTGCTGTGTTTTGGATTTAGTATGAGAAGAATGTTGATAACATACTGATGTTTTTAGTTGTTGCTGAGTAGTCTACTAGTCAAGGACTTTTCAGCTTCCCATGCTCTGCCAGGTGCACAAGAAGCTGGGAGGGAGCACAGCCAGGACAGCTAACCCAACTGGCCAACGGAGTATTCCATACCGTATGACGTCACGCTTAGTGGTCCAGGAAGTAGAGATCGCTGTTTGGGTATCATTTGGCAGGTGGTGAGCAATTGCATTGTGCATCACTCATTTTGTATATTCTACCATTATTATTATTATTTTCCCTTTCTTTTCTCTTCTATTAAATTGTCTTCATCTCAATCCACGAATTTTACTTTCTCCCCCGCCCCCGCCCCGATTCTCTCCCCCATCCTACTGTGGGGGAGGAGTGAGTGAGCGGCTGTATGGTGTTTGGCTGCCTGCCGGGTTAAACCACAACACCAAGGTCCCTGGAAGACCTAAGCGTTAGACAGCTACACTGGCTGCCTGCTATTGCTTCTATTAAATTGTCTTCATCTCAATCCACGAATTTTACTTTCTCCCCCGCCCCCGCCCCGATTCTCTCCCCCATCCTACTGTGGGGGAGGAGTGAGTGAGCGGCTGTATGGTGTTTGGCTGCCTGCCGGGTTAAACCACAACACCAAGGTCCCTGGAAGACCTAAGCGTTAGACAGCTACACTGGCTGCCTGCTATTGATGAGACACGATAGGTGAAGAATCTTAACTATATGAAGGTTCCTTAACTAGCACTAAATAGGGATAATGGGGATGGGGAGGGAGTGCAGAGAGTCTGATCCAAAGAGTAGAAATACAATATCTGACAACTTAAAAAAAAAAAAGCTGTCTAATACTGACATCATTTATTTTCCCCAAGAGATGTACTGCTGTCTTGAAACAGACTGGGTGTGTATAAAGACACCCTGGCATAGAAAGGGACCTCACCTTTCAGCACTGAGCAAATGACACTGGAAAGGTAAAGTACCTGGGAAGCACACAGAACCACAGAGGTGTAGATGCACTCTAGTATAATATCTTGATGCCAGCTCCCACCCTTCCCAGCAAAACCAGTAGTGGAGATGGAGGCAGGGGCAAAAAATCCAATCTATTGAGTAGCAAGTGGCTTGCAGCTGACCATGCCATGGCACATGATACCACGGCTGATGCAGCCCAACTGCAAAGTGGTAGCTAGACAGGTGGATCAGAGCCAAGGATGGACTTCTTAGTGCTGAGAAGCACTCCTCATCAGCTACAGGGTCAGAATCACATAACATATGCCTCTGAAATCTCAACTAGCAGCATCCAGGGAAAGCAGGTAAGAAATCTTTGAAGATATTGCTTAGCTGATTTACCTCTGGACAGATTCAGAATGAGAGACTTCACGGACACAAAGGTTTAAGCCAAATGATCATAAGTATCTGGTTCTTTGAGTAGGTAGCTGCTTTTCCTGCGCTCAGAAAAGGGCCTCACTGCAAAATTTCATCAGTGAAGCTTGACCTTTCAAACATATTACATCCAACAGTGGAACAATTTACAGGGGAGGCAATCCTTAGGTCTCTCCAGGCTAAGAAGGCGTCTGAATAGTAGGTCTGAGAGTGAAATACAATCCTCAAAAATATTGCAGAAATGTGGAGAAGTTTAATTATCTTGAAGATCAAACCCATGAAATCCAGTGAAGAAAAACACCGTCTCAGAAAAATCTGTGCATTCTGACTCAACTAGACCAGAAGCTACTAACAGGACCTCTGAGACATTCAGACTACTATTTTGCTTTGTCAAGAGAAATGTTTGGACACAGAAACATTTATTTTAAAGGGAGGTACAGTCAGCACACGCGTCATATTCATAGGCTATTAAGACAGACTACAATGCTATTTCAACCACAGTGAGCTTTAGAGGTTCCAGTACCTTCTCTTTTCCAGGATGTTTCCATGAAAAGTTGGTCTCCATAAAAATGGAGTTCTTTGACTATGTCCGTGTGCATATGATATAGGAGAGAACCATGTACTACTGCAACTAAGATGCTTCCAGCTGTAAACAGTACCCTTACAATGTACAAAACCTGTCTCTCTCCTTTTCACCAATGTCATGAGGTCTAGTTCACACTTTCAACATCTCACTGTCCTCTTTCCCACATTTGAGCTAGCAGTTCCAAAGCAGTACCCAGTTTCTGAGAAGAAACTCACTTTTCTCCAGTAGTGACTGCAGAACTACTAGACAAAAGACAGTATTTGATGAAACCTGAAGGGGAACTACAGGTGAGTATTTATATTCCGTTCTAGAAACACTCTCCTCTCACAGTTTTATTGTAGGTAACAGCAGATACAAAAATAAACCTAGAATTCGAAGCTGTGAGACTAAAGAATGATGGATTTAAAGAAAACTTTCAAACTTCTTAAGCAAACACTGAGTAGAAGGATGGATACAAGCTGAAGAATCCATTAAGGGCTTTTTCCGCCCAACTTTCAAAAATTGCATTTAATAAATAGCTTATAATTTCTGTGATACGCTACATCTACATAAAGAAAGGGGAAACCTATATTAAAATATGAGACTGAGGAAAAAAAAATTTACACTGCTATCACATATGAAGATGTTCCAGATTAACTACAGGTTCTGCTAGCAGAAGGAAACATAGAAGCATTCTTCTGTCTGCTTCAGCCCAAATTCAGAAAATTTAGTATTATCTACCTATTATAATGGTGCAAAATAATCAACATATGATCAAGTGGTAAAAAGCAGTTGCAGAAAACTAGTATATTCAACTGGCACAGCTTTTAATAGAGTACATACCGTATAAAGCTATTGCACCAGCTTAATTCTTTAAATAGTTCAGCAATCCTAAGGAAATTAATACCTGCTGGCTGTCAATCTATTTCTAGTAATTCAGTACCAATTTTCACCATCCAGAACATGACCAGAAAGCCTAAGACACATGTGACTGACATCTCTTATTTCTTCAGATGGTCCTGTCCAGAGAAACATCACTAGTGTACCAAGTTGGGAAAGTCTGAATTCTAAGCAGCTAAACAAATTCTGCTACACACTTCAATATCTTTAACAGTCATTACATTGTTAAACAAGAGTTCCCTTAACTCAGAAATTATCTTTCTAAAGCGCTTTTTTTCCCCTCGCATGATTCCTCAGATTTTTTAAGTGATTGCTGGATCAACACACATAACTGAATATATTTCACTGTAATTCAATTTTAACTATTAAAATCCAACACTTAGTAAACTCGTCTAAAATGAAATAACTTTCTCTTTCATGAAAAAAACATACAATCAATATCAACTGCATATTTTTCAGATTCTGGTCAATTTGGATCACATTCTCTGTCCAACACTGACCAGTTAAGTGAATAAATTTCTGTAACATATAAGAAAAAATATACTCTTGCACATAACTCACTTGTTTGCCAGCATGTTTGACAACTGCCCCGATGACAGGGTTCTTCACATCTGTGAAGCCCACAGTTGAGTTTGCGACCACAAACCAAAGAACACTTATGTTCTATGTCCTAGGGGAAGGCAAAAAAGAAAAGCAGAATTAAACTATAAACCCCACTGGTTTATTTTTTTCTGTGAGGTCATAATCTACTAATTGACAAAACTGTATAGTGCAAAAAATAGCTCAGGCCTGATCTATACAGTTTTTCGATCACTATACGGATACACAATTTTTAAAGCAGATGCTGTTAGACCTCTATTGGAGACATAGCTTCATCATAGTTTATGCTTCTTTTATTAAGTAATATCCTTCCCCTCCCCATTCTCCCTGGAATCACTGCAAAGCACCTTTACACTGATTTAATTGCATTTAGGCTGGAATGTGGTTATACATTTATAATGATACCCATAAAACAAACACTGCAACATAAATGCACACACACAAACTTTTTGAGCATGACCAATACTGCAAATAGAGACTGAAGATGCACAAAAATGGAAAAATACGAAAGCAAAAAAGTCTTTTAACATCACAACCAAAACCAAACACACACCACAATGAACAATTTTATAAAACCACACGTAAACTTACCACACAGCAAACTTCATTACACTTGTGTCGTCCACATGATCTTTTCTTGTTGCATCGCTTATCACACATGAATGTAATAGCAGCTATTAAAAACAAACAAACAAAAAAACCCCAAAAAACACCCATAACTTTTATGTCTTTGCTTATGCTGAGAGCAAAAGTTGCGATCACAATATTATGCTAAGGCTGTTGCAGAGCATGGTCTAGAAGAGACTAATACAGAGTAAGTCAGCAAGCAAACTTTTAAATTACTTGCTCTTTGACATTAATTCCCCATGTGAACACTTGGCTTTCTTCAAACAAACCCTTGTTCAAAAAGATTTTGGAGAGCAGAATACATGAAACTAGTTTATTTCACATTAGTCTTTACACCATAAACTCTGCACAATAGAACACAGAAAACAGGATATCCTGATACTCTGGAGTATCACAAACATCCAGATTAAGACTGCTCAAATTGGTAAGGCAGTAAATGTCAGCTAAATGCAACTACTTCTGATATACTCATGAAACTAGTGCTAACAAAGAACATCCTTATCACCATCCACAGGTAACAAAAGCAATCACTTCTGGATTCTGAAGAGCAAAGTCTTCATAGACAAAAGCTCAAATTAGGAAATATGCATATTACTACCTTATGTATCTTGTAAATAAATACCTCAGTATGACAGGGGTCCATCAAGGAAATATTTCACTGAGGTGAATTTTGAGATGCTACATCCAGAATACCAAGAAGCATCAAATGGGAACTCTCTGCCAAGCTCAGATGCAAAGACCAGCAGCATACAACTGTGAAGCAGAATCAAAGCTTGTATTTCCCCAAGAACTTGAACAAGAGCAGAGCAACAGCATTACTTTGCCTCTGAGCTGTGCAAGCTGACCCAAAGATATGCAGGATGCTGGGGGGGGCAACCTATTGAATATGGCAGGTGGCATAAGACACTGTTCAAACTGAAATAGACAATTGTCTGGAATCTTCGAGATCAAATGCTGAAGAACTCTTTCTTTACATAAAAGATGGATAGAAATGAAAGAAGGTTATTTCAAACCTCTTCCCACAAGTAGAGGCATCTCAAGAAATGACCAACTTGGCACAGAAGTATGGATAAAAGAAGCAGTATTGATCAGATGTTTGCCAACTTCGTCAACCAAACCCAAACTTAATATGAGCTGTGTATCGTTTTTAAAACAATGTCACATTATATATGTAACATAACATTGTACCTTTATTTCTGAGGAGAGCACATGGGACTTCCTAGGAAACAAACAGGGAGCGATTAGGTTAAAACAAATGAAATAACAGAAACTTACTTATCTAGAAAACACCTAGTCACATGATACAGAAAGAAGCAGCACTCTCAGTTTTCATGTGTGTAACACTTACGTATACAAAAGTGAAACAGAAGCTTGGAAAAAAACCCCAAATCTTTTAACACAATACTTTTTCCTTAGAGGTTCAAGACCATTTAAAAAAAATTGTAGTTTTGTGTTCCCCACTTAATTCAGCAGACAATGCTGTGAAGACAGAAACAGGTTTGTCCTAAGAAACCAGAAACTTGCATGGCGGAAAACAAAAGAGCTCTCCCAGAGAATATTGACAGAGCGCATAAATTTGTGCTTTGACCAACTGTCCCAAAAATGCAAGTCTGACTTGATTAAAAAAAAAAAAAGAAAGAGAGAGTGAAGTCAAATCTCACGATCAAAGAAGTTTTACCTAGATTAAAGACCTCAACATGAAAATAAAAGGTGATGGATAAAAAGAACATTGTTGATCGACTACATTTAAACCTTCAGTCATCACAACTTTATATTCTGAGTTCTCATTTCCGAGCATCACATTTTTCATGACTGATTTAAATTATCACTGTAGTTCACTCACACTTTTTCAAGAAGCAGCTTTCTGGTGTCTGAGAAGCTGCGTAAACTAAAACCCAAACCTCGCTACTTTGTTTCGAGCTTCAAAATGAAAGATAATCTGAAGCCTTCTACCCCATAACTACCTTCAGCAAACTTGCAGGAGAAAACTGTTCCAACCTCAAGCAAAGTCTCAGTCATTTCTATGTACTTACAGACTTACATATTCAGAAGCCATCTCTACTTATAGATGATATATAACAGGTCAGAAAAGTTATCAAAGCTCCTGTGATAGTAGCCAAAGATTTCAAAGCTATGATCACAGAAAGTAGCATAGTTTAAAAATATACTAATTATTATGTAACAATTGCTGAGGATCTGCTGGGTCACTACACAAATGTATGAAGAATGAGGACTGGTAAAAACTTCATATTCTCTCCAAAAAAGTCTACAACAAATCTACAAGCTATTACTACAAAGTTTTAGTTAGCTTTTTATGTCAGGCTACCTTACTTCTCTCAGTTTATATTACTCTTGGTAAAACTACCATTCTTTGTGCTATATAAATACTGCAGGATAATGTAGGACTTTGGAGTCAGCTTCAACAAACAGAATTCTGTGTAAACTCTGCAAAAATAGTTCAAAAAATTGCCTTCACAGTAAGTAGCCTATGTTAGCACTTCACAGTATAATCTAGTTAGCATCTATCAGTTAGTATACAATGAAGGTTCTTGCAACTAAGGAGCACAGCACCTCTTATACTTCTTAGCTTTCTTTTCCTCAACTATGTCAGCTCCTTTTTCTCCACAGCTTTAAAAAACAACAAAGATTACCTGTTTCCATGGTCAAATTTTATACACTCACCTTTTTTTTGAAGCCACACCTACAATAAATATTTGATGTGTGAGAACATGGTCTACAGTCTCCTTCATGGCAAAGGCTTTCACATGTATGAATGAATTCTAGCAAAATGAAAATACAAAGATTAACAATTACTAAAAAAATAAAATCCATGATGTGGAACTTCATTTTTATTAAGAGCATCACTAGTCAAAGATACTAAGCTTATGTGCAGCTGGGTTTCCAAACAAATTAACTATTTTGAGTCAAATGCGCATAAAATTTTGCCATTGTTTTCAATTTTTAAATCCTGAATCTATAGACTAGAGTTTCAGGTCTACAATTAACATTGAAAATGCATACATTTTAAGTACTTTTTACATTAGCGTATTAAAAAAAAAAAGAATATTTTGTGTGATAATATCTTACCCAAGTTTCAGGAATTTTTAGTAATTTTTTCTTCCTTTTCAACCCAAAAGAATGACTTACTATGCATACCTTCATATTTCACTTACTAGGTTAACTGAAATTCAACTAAAAGTTAAATTACTCGTTCCCTTTCTACTTGTCCTTGGACTGACAGAATGGATCAGTCATTAATAAGAAGCCCTCATCTTAACAGAATTCGTCTCTTTCCTCTCTAAAGTCTAACAAATCACGATTAAATATGTAGTCTGTAAAACTGGAGCTGCACACCATCTCTCAATTAAATACACCTGAGTTACCTAATGCACTCACTGAAGTGTCAAATAGCTTCTGCACATAACTTTCTCCAACTTTCCAACACTAGTTTTTACTTCATGACCTTCTTACAGCAGCAGGAAATGAGTATTTACTGGAGGCATCTGAACAAAGTCATTTATCTCTACCAGTCTCCACACGGAAGTCAAAGATCTAGGTGGGCTTTTAAAAGACATCAGTACATACTACTCTCCAGAAATTCCTACAGCTCTATTCCTCTACCAATATAGGAAAGGTGCATGTAAACAAAATTTAAAAGGCTAGCTAGTGTTAGTGCTTTTTAGACAAAGATATTTCCTGATTTTAAGGTATCATTATGAACAGCCAGACTGCAGGCTCTGCAGTGGCTTTTACACTCAGTTTGGTTAAAACCCCAAATCACTAATCAAATATTTATTTCTTGAAATGAAACAGTTAAGGACCACTTTTTTTTTTGAAAACGATGAGATAATTTGAATACTCTGATGCAGAAAGTTCTAATTACCATAGCTACCACAAGAGAGAGGCTTGCCACATGTTTTTCCACACGATGGGATAGGGTCTGTGCATATTTTACGTTCAACGCATCCTAGTTCCAGTAACTTGCTGAGAGGAGTCTGACCACAGGGACAGCGATATACTACTTGTGGAAGTCGTGGACAGAGCTGGCAAGGCTGAGGATGGCATACTTGCGTACAGTTGTGCCTCCCACAATTTAATTTTCTGGAAAAAAACAAGCCCAATGAAAAAAAAAACAAAACAAACAAAAAAAGAAAACGGGGAATTATCTAAGAGTATCATGATCACTGAGTGTGAATAAAATGACCTCTTTCTTTTCAAAAGCCTAAATTATAGCAACCTTACTTGCCACATATATTCTGACATGAGAAGTTCCCAAATCCATCAGAGAATTCTTCCTTTGTCCCACACAATACTTCTTTAAAATTGCTTCCACAGTAACACACTGAAAGAAAGCAGTATTCCACAGAAAACAACACAAGAAAACATCAGTGACAAAATACCTCCAGCAGTACAGCAAATATAAAAAGGTAAAATGTGAAAAATTGTTACAGTCAGTTTTTAGAAGGATAATGAAGTTGCTCTTCTTTAGATTTATTTCAGCAATAGAGGTTTCTCAGTCCTACAGAAGCTGGAATTCCTGGTTTTTGTTTTGATAAGGAGATAAAAACTAAAGCAGAAGTACTAGCTGCACAAAAAGCTTACTTATTAAAGCAGTATACATAAGTTAATTATTACCTTAAAAGTTGAGAAAATTAACTTGCAATTTTCTATATAAAGTGTTCAACAAAAGTGTATTTGTATACTGGCACACATACTTGGACAATTTAATTTCCATTCAAGATCAAGTTTAGAAAATTTTAACAAAAACCGTGAGTAGCTTGTTGAAATGTGCTTTCCTATACTTCTTTCTACTCTTCTTCCATGTACTGTTTAATCAAGTCTCAGAATTATAGTAAAAGATTAAGTAGGATCACAGGACAATTCAGGTCAGAAGGGCCCTCAGCGGATCAGCTAGTCCAAGCCCTTACTTACAGCAGAGTCAGCAATGAGATCAGACCAGGTTACTCAGTGTTTTATTCAGTTGGGTCTTGAAAACCTCATAAGGTTCCAAGAAAAGAGTTTTTCCTCACAGCCAGTTATATAACATTTTAACTTAGGCTCATTGTCTCTCATCCTCTCCGCACGCACAGCCTGTCTCTGCCTTCTTGATTACCTCCTAATAGCTATTGAAAGGCCACTACTCAGCCTTCTCAAGCTAACAAAGTCCAGCACTACCAGCCTGTCCTAATAGGGCACATGCTCCAAAAGCCTAATCATCTTGGCAGGATTCTTTCTAGTCATGTTTATATTCTTATTTAAATATATAGTGATGCTGACACATTTTCCATTTTGAAATATTCTAGCAATAGATTTTGGTTTTGTTAAGTAAAAATAAAGCACTTGCCTCTTGGTACTGGTTTTTTTCACCCTCTCGTTTTTGTAGTATAGAGTGGATATACATAAGGCATTCCAATACTTACCTTGCTGTGCTGTTAATTGGCAAGGTGAACATTTTCCTGCATGGCACACTTGAGTACAGCTGTGCTTACCACAGTTTAAAGTATTTCCACATACATTAGAACAATGAATCTTTGTTGATTGGCCACAGCGAACTGAATGACTGTAGAGAAATGACACCATAGTCTGTCAGCTACCTTAATATCTACAGAGCATTTATTAAGAAGGAAGATACTTTTTCAATAAATTGCCAAAGCCTTGGAAAGGGAGCATAACTTATTAACGAAAGAGTTTTTAGGAAACAACCTCCCCCTGCTTCCCCTCTCCCACCCCCCTAAAGTAGGACACATCACAGTAGTGAGTCTATGGAATTTTCTCTCAACAAAATGGAAAAAAAAAAGTGACACTATAACTTGAACCTAATGTACGGTTATGCATCGTGCCAGAAGAGCAGATATTTCTATTTCAGACATCTTTCCAAAGACTTAATTCTAAGTCCACTGAGCACAATGAAGATAGGGATGTGCACAGTGACGATAGGCCTTTATAGTGAGTCAGTAGTCTACAAAAAGAGTTGGGTTTATTAATTAAATTGTTTAAAAAAAAGGGACAAAACAATAAATTCTCCTCTTTTTCCATTCTGGCTAGCCTCATACAATCGCTGTAAAATGTACATTTGAAATAGTTACTTTAAAACATTTTGAAGTCAGAGGTGCCATACCATACGTCTTGGATGCTAACACAGTACATACGAAAAAATGCTATTTAGAAGCAAGTTTTAAGTATTAAATGCAGTATTACAAAAATCAGCAATCTGGTGAAAATAGTTGACACCTGGGAAAAAATAATAAATCAAAATTGGTTGCATCTATTAAACTTTTAAATGCAAGGAATAGCTCGAATAAAAAAAAAGGTGATCTTACTATGTAAAATGAAATTCAGTAATCTACAACCAATCAATTTTTCTGCTGAAGACCAAGTGCTTTCAACCACGAATACTGCCACAGAAATAGTTGTACCTTCTTTTGAAAAATTAAGATCAATTAATATTACATTCAAAGTTTCAGAAATAATTGTAGAAGTCTGAAAACCTTTTTTCTAGAGCAAGAATGCTAACACTGAAATCGGTTTTTGTTTGGTTCGGTTCTGGAAACGAGTACAGGCAAACATTTTATTATACAGAATCAGTTCTAGGTAGCTAGAACAGGGACTCTAAAGACTCAGAACAACTGAGTATGAGAGATCACATAGAGTATAGGCAGTACAGTCTTGCTGTTGGCAAAGACACTGTACGCATCAAACATGCAAGGAAAAGATAGCCTTCAAGTCTGGAATATACTACAGACTTCTCTCTTGCTAGTGCTACAGCTTCCCAGAAATGTACATGTTATTTTTGAAATTATTATTTCTGGAATGAAGTAACTCAACATGACATTCCATTCAGACAGAAAAGGTGTGAACCTTTTTCTACTTCTTTCTCTGTGTCTTCTACAAAATAAAATAAATAAATACTAGAATAGGATTTCAAAATCAAATCAACTCACAGACTGGTTGGATAATTCAGCTACATGTACCATAAATTGATTTTTAACACAGACAACTTATTTTTTTATTATTTTTATTTTTTCTTAAAAGATTAAAAGCAATTGCATTTTTTTTAAATATAAAATTCTCCAATTTTAGTGCACAAATAAAAGTTACAGCTCAGAATAAACTTTGTTCCGTAAACTTTTAATAAACTATTCTTATATAAACTTCTGTTTGTATAATAGAAGCATTCTCACCTTGTTTGTCCACATTCACATGTTTTTGTCACAAAGGCTGGGCACGAAGGGCAAGGTCCTGGATGGCACAGGCTTAAAAATAAGTCAAAAAAGTTAACTTTACAATTTTGTTTACTTTAGCTTTACTACACTCCCAAAGAAACAATCCATCATGACTCAATCTGCAGTGCATTATCAGAACATTATACAAGCCACCTCCTGCAGGCTATGAAAGCATTATTAACACAAGAAAAAAAATATTAGATTATTACAGTTGCATCAGTCTAAATGTCACTGATGTTGAAAGAAAACTTCAATATTCCTGCTACTGTCAAATCAACAGTAACAGCGCTACTAATACATTTCATATTTTACATTTCACCAGCAGACAGGCATCAACTCAACTGTGTTCGTCACTGGTAACACTCAAACCAAACATCACATGTCCAAACCATTAATACATTTCCTTCTTCAATGATCTTAAATAGATTAGAGACAAACACTTCTCTATTAATTTCTTCTGTTGAGTTGGTGGCTTTATCTTTCAACTCAGCATTTCTAAAGCCACCAGTAAGAACTGTTGCTCCTCTTCCTGTAAGGTAACGCGTGGGAGATGCAGCAAGTCTGCCTCAGTTTTCTTTCTTACCATCAAGTGCAATTTCCTGTGAGTGTCATCAATGGCAGTCCTTTACTTGATTATGAGATCTCACCTCCTACTTCAAGAAACACTAGATGGTCCCTGTCTGCATGTAAGACCTCTGCTGGGCACAGACAAGCCCAGGTTTGTGAAATTACACTTAACTTGTCTGCACTCTTCCTTAACCAGTTCTCAGTTCTCTCCCTTTGAAAATACAGCAACTCTCACGTGGAGCAATTATTATGGGCCAGGACTGACCAGCCCAGATGTCCCAGCCAAAAGAAAAAGGAAAAAAAAAAACCAAACCCAACAGCAAAAAACCCCATAAATACAGACTATCCAATTATATGGTAATTACTAAATTCCCCAAGTACAGTCGCTACGCAAGTACTAATTAGTACACCAGTTACTATAGTCACAGGCAATATAATTGAGTCATGTCAGCAGTTTGTCTACAGTGGTCCAGCTCCCTTTTTCCTCTACCACTCCCCCCAGTCGACAAGAAGGCCTAATCTAATCATGCAACTTATGCCAGCTCTAACAGCAAAGCCAAGCCATTACATGATAAACCAATTCAACACAAAAAAACACCACCAAAAACAAAACCAAAAAACAAACGATCAAGGAAACCACAACCCTCCCTCTTTGATAGGTCAGTTTTACAGCATAAAGAGTTAAATAAGCACCAGAGCAGGCACAAGGAAAGGGAGAAAAGAGCAAAACTGGATGGAGCAGGGAAAATACAATACAGAGGGAAACAGGAAGAAAGCAAAAACATTAAATTAATTAAAACTGTATTGTGGAACTTTAGACAATGAAAATTAACATGCATTCTGCCACAGAAAACCTCTTGTAAAAGGACAGCACTATATATTTCACTTTCTTGACTTCAATTCTCACAGACCCTTGTAGGATTCTAAAGGCTGTATGCCAGCTTATAAACTGAAGAATCTGATTAAAAGTAGATACAAACTTAAAATACTGTGATCTAGGTCATAACTTGGAACCTGGCTTCTTGCTTGAACCTGGCTGTCATCCTAATCTCTCTTAACCAGCGTGTGAGCTTTAATAGCCTTTCCAAAAGCGTCTATGTGATGCTGAGAGCTCTAGACATTCTTATTACCCATACCAGGATCTGTTTTCTTTTGAATCTTACTAATTATTTGCACCAATTTCTTGCAAGATGCCCTGCCTAGCAGAAGGCATTGTGCATTCTGAATTTGCCACCTTCTGATTTAAATGCAGGTCTCATTTCATACTCAGGGAATGCAGCGGGGGGGGAAATCTCCATGTTTTCTTGATAAAACTAACCACTTTACGAAGTATTAAAGTAAAAGGATCCAAATCTTTCCCATGACTTTTAATCCAATTCTTTTTCCTCAGCCACAAGAGTCTGATGCTTACTCAGTTTTAAAGCGAAAACACGATTCTCAAAGATCCACTTTCACCCACTTCAACTTGCCACTTGATATTATATTAAGAATAACGTAACCACCTAAGCAGCACTTGGAATAGCACAACTGGCACCACCAAAAAATTGTATCACCAGTCACATCTCTCGGAGCTGCTCATTTCACAGGGGACAATCGTTCGCACAAGCCTAGCATACACCATAACACAATGCATATAGAAGGCAGACAGCAGGAGGGAGGCTGAAGTTTAGACCACCAACAACTATTACAATGGCTTATTTAGAACACCTCCTGTACTCTGCACATTTCATCTACATGGCAGAGGGAGCAAATACAAGCATCCTAATGCAAAGCAATGAGAAAAATGTTCCTCTGATGTCACATATGAGCAGAAAAGGGGATCATTGTTTGATCCTGGTGGTGTCACATCAGATAGCTGCAGTGTAGATACACGGTGTGTGGTTTCTGAAAACTCAGACAATACTGCAATTCAGATTCTGTTGCTAGGCACTGCATAAGTAATTCTGATATAAAGAGCAGGGGATAGCTATAAGCGTCTAAATCTCCCATACTCTGATTGTTGATACGATAGCCACAAAGAAAGACAAGAAACTAAGCAAGAATCCCATGACTCAGAAAGCAGGTTCCCCAAGACTCAGATTCAAGTCCCACCAATGAATAGGATTCATAACAGGATTCATCCCGATTAGCTCTGTCAGAGGCTCACGGACTGCAGATACAGAGGTCTCCTCAACTGGAAGACAACGGATGGAGCTGGACTTTAAATGAGTCCCACACACTTCAACTGCAAAGGGTTTCCCAGAATAGATGGGATTAAATACTGGAGAAAGGGCAACATCAAGAACACCACACCAAGACTCAGTTCACTGCCCATAACAGTGGACAAATCTCTACTATTAACTAAAGTCACACAGACTTGAGAAGAGCATGAATAGCTTACCCCAGAGAATTCGTCCCGTCACACTGTGAGGTAGAAGGTCTTGAAAATGACATGAAACATTTGACCCAGAAGAGAGAAGAGGGGGAAAAAAAAGAAAAGGAAAAACAAAGTTTTTAGGATCTCAGTGAGCAGAATGGCATTTCTGGTTCAACCCTTCTCACCTTATGGGAACCTGTGGGAGCAGAGGAAAAAGGCACACAGCAGATCCACAATCCAAAGAAACAAGTACTTGCAAGAAAAGAGTTCTCAGATCATTTAAACTCAAGCAAGAACCATGAAGCAGACTCCTGGCTCTGATGGCAACAAGTCCACCTTTGAGTACTCTCTTGAGGAAAAACTCTGCCCAGATACAGATCATGATCCAGACTTCTAGACCAGTTGAGGTTGTCCAGTGGGTAGAAGCTAGTAAAAGACTGCCAAAGATGCATTCAGATGATAAAGCTCCACATCTCTAACTCCACCACTTCCTGATACAGCAAGAGAGAACAGATTTCTACTTGCTTTTTGACACAGCAGATGGAGGCAGAGTGTGTCCTCATTCCCATCCCACATGGGAGGAAGAAGTGTCCAAGGTATACTGAGGAATATCCAAAACTGGGTAACACTGATGCTGAAAGTGCATTCCTCTCCAGATCACTATCACAAGCCAGAGTGTGCCAAAACCACCCATTATCTTGCTCTGCACCCTTGCTGTCTCCTTACCTCCAGGACTGGATGATCTCAGCATGGTTTTACTCATGTGGAACAAAGTGAATGATAACACTTTTACACTTGCTACAACTTAAACTGGTAGCAAGCCGGGACTTTAAAAGGTCCACATTTTCACCGCTCTTTATGCAGATCAGACTACCAGGACTACAGATTTGTAGCCTGCAATAGGCACAATATTGCCACTACTGTTCAGAAGACTTCCCAGAAGAGAATGCCAGAGACTGAGCCTCTGCTGTAAACTGTAAACAGAGGAAGAATAACTGTTTCATACAAGCGCTATAGGAAAGTCTGTCAGGTAGCAGACTGCAATCGGGGACTTCTCAAAGTAGTTAAGGAGTCTACTTATGTCTGACTGGGCAAAAAAGTCCTCCATGGACACATGCATCTCCTGAGATGGAGGCCAGCAGCTAGCTTCCAAGAGAATCAGTGTTGTGCTGAGTCAGGATATCAGCTACATCAAATGTAGTCTGAAAGCTGATCTATGTTTCAGTTTTATCCTGCAAACGACAGTGAAGAAGATCTAGTATGATGATGAATTAAGAAAACAACTATAGCACTGAAATGCCAGTCTGAAAAGAAATCTAATATAATATTTTCATATGTGGGAAAGAAGTATTAAAAGAGTAAAGAAATACTCTTTCATTCAACAAGATGTTGAGATAGGTTTGAAAGAGAACACATTAAATAAAAAGTTCGGAGTAAAGTTCTAGTAAAGGTCTGAGTTTTAGTAAACCTTGGAAAAAGTGTAAGATGACAATCTATTTGTTGGAATGACTGAAGTTTTTGATTGTGTACCAAGAGCAGAAAGAACTGCTTCTGACTATTAAGAATTTCTCAAAACAGAAATATGAACAGGTATTATGGACCAACTTCCACACATGGAAAATGAATCTAGATATGCTAGGAACAACATATAATTTATTTTTCTGACTAGCAAGCATATTTATACATTGAAAAAGCTCGCCTAATGCTGTTAACCTTATCAATATAATACCACCACACTGCTAAAAAAAGATCTAAAGGAAAACATCCAAAACTGAAAATAGAATTGCTCTTCTTTGCCTCTCTTCATTGAATTATACTAATAAATGTTAGCAAAAACAATCCAAGTTACGTATACTGATTAAGATCTCCATGAGGAATTCCAATTCAACTATCTGGTGGTCTCAAAAAATAGATAAATACATATAATGCCCTCTTATCCCTCAACAGTTTACAAGCCAAAGAAAAGAAAAAGAAACAAAGAATAGAAGTAAGCAGTCCTTCAGTTTAACTAAGTACCACTGGCTCTTAGGTTAAGATTATACAAACACTATTACAGGAAAAGCAGCATGTAAAACGACTGTTGGACCACCGGATACACATTTAAAATTACTTCTATTCACTATTACTTCTCTTCAATGAAAGTTCTTGAAACCAAGTTAGGCAGCTGGTTCATTTCCTAAAACATGATGGAAATGTTGATACTATTGTTGCTGACCTCGTGTTCGTTCTCTCATATGAACTCACTTCAGACATACAAACTCAAATAGCCTCCATTTCTTCTAGGCTTCAGTTGAGATAAACCAAATACACCTCTAAGCATATCCTATAGTCAAAAAATATCCAAATACAGTCTTCAGAAATTTTCTCTAGATCATTTCAATATTCATATAATAAACATTTACTTACATGTTACAAAGATGTGGACAGTCCAAACACTGTCTCTTCTTTCCACAAAGTTCACCACAGCTATGTGGGATTTCATTTCTATTCCATTCAGGATTGTGCACCTTACCTAAACCATGTCAAAGACAAAAACATATTTATTGCCTTGAATAAAATACTGAGTTTGGGAAAAATATCACACCAAAAAGAATAAGCTGTATTTTCAATACTGGCAGTAGTCGTCTTTGAAAAACAAAATGACACAGTATGTTTTATGTTTTTCTCCGCTTTCAGTACTGATACATACTCAACTTCTTTAAAAGTAAGTGCCACTGGAACATCAAGCTCCAGAAGATTCTTTCCTTCTATGCCGTCAGCAGGCACTGAGGTAGCTGGTATTTTACATCAAATTAAACTGACAAAATACAAGAAAATTAAAAGCCCCCTTTAGTTGGTCAGGCTGCATAGATAAGAAAATTAAAGGGTGAAACTCCCTTGCTGCCTCAATGCAGAAGACAAAAAAGAAAAAAAAAAAAAAAAAAAAAAAAGACACCATTCCCAGAAAATAAGATCTAGCCAATAAGGTGATGAGGAATAGGGGCAGAATGAAATGACTGGGCAAATTATAAAAGTCACTTCTCTAAAAAGAAGCAGACTTTACATAAACCTAAACATTAAAGGTTGACATTTTGATGAATGCAGCAGGAAGTCTTGAAGAAGAAGTGATAAATCCAGTACATTTGCTTCAAGTATTCTGTATTTCAGATAAGCACTGAAACCATATTTTAATTAAATCTGACATACTGTTCGCAAATCTCATAGCTGTAAGTGCATGACATGATCATCAGTGTTAAAGTTAATTGCCATGGTTAACACATGCAAACCTAATCTGGCTCTCTGCAAGAGGGGAATTAAATTAACAATGAAGCAACTGAGCCAATATTACAAATTTGAGTTGCAACAATTAAAAACATCAAGAAAATATATTTTTGGCGACATAGTTGTATCATTTTAATTCTTTTAGTACACCTTTGTATATTCTATGAGTAGCAAGTTAGGAAAATACAAATAAACACCACATATGGCATTTATTCACCTGAGTTTCAATTAAACTAGTCAAATATCCAGGAAAATCCTGAAAATTAGAAGATTCAGGGAAAAAAAAAAGCTAGGAATTTCCTCATGGAATGGTGAAAAAAACTACACTTAACTACACTCAACACATAGTTAGTATTTTGCATCAAATAGAAGACAGCTTTGATAAGCTGGTGATGTCCAAATGCTGTATCGTTAATGTAAAATTATCTATACAAGATTGAAGTCTTATGTTCCAACATGGTGCTCGGCTAATATTAACCCTGTGGACAACTTGAGGTTCCTGCTGTAGATCTCCTAAAACTATGAAACAGTCTTTAAGCCTAGGCAGAATTTCTTTCCTATTTAACAGATGGACGACCTGTCTTAAAAGTGTAATTTTCATTTGGAATCATTCTAACTTGATTGTTATCCCTATACTCGTAAGATTTCACACACTGTCATACAAAAACTGTCTTACCTGCATTGTACTGTTCTTAGCTGACACATTGACACATTTAGATAAAGAGAACTTTAGATAAAATTAGAATCATAGAATCATAGAATC